GTAGTTCTGTTCCGTACGTTACGTTGCGTCCTTCTGTCGTAGTCCCATTCGTACGTTTAGCTTGTTACGTATGCACTTTACTTTCACGCGAGACAACTCAGTTAAAGTATATATGGCTGAAGTTGTCCGCAGATTTGCACCTGCCCACTGTGGGCCCTGTAACCTACAATGATGATTATCTCCACAGGGAGCGTTAGTTTGCAGCCATTATGTACCCCTCTCTGTGCAAAAATAGCAGGCATTAGTGTGGCTTGGAATTGCATGTAGAAACTGATCAGCAGACACAAGTCTGTCTACACGACAGTGTGATGCAGTATTGCATCTGTCGATCCCTCTCCGGATTGCTCACACTGTAATGCGCCCACTTCCGCGGGACTCGCCTGCGGCTACATCCCATAAGGGTGGGACGTCTACACAGAGCCTCAAAATACTGCATAGACGTATAGTCATGGGTTTCAGTTGCTCGTAAGCCGGGCAGCGGGAGTATGTAAAGGGGGCATTCTACGCTAAGTGCTCAGCGAAGGCACGAAGTCTCTCCAAAAGGCATTACCCCGAGTAATAGAAGCAGAGGTACCTTGCAATTCATAGGCAACCAAGCCGCCATTCCTGTGACTGAGTCCAAACTAGACTTGATGCTATCCGATGAGCCTATCGCCAGCGTTGTAGATGCTGTCACCGTCTCGACCTCTAGGTAACCTAAGCGCGAAATCCACTACTGTTGTTTGGTGCCGAGCCCACTCACAAATCAAAAAATAAATCGGAAGGCTGGATGCTTTCACGAGGTTGCAGGGTTCGTATGGTCGTTAGCGGCAACGTAAGAAGAGCGTTCTCCCCGCCAAAAGAATCTTTGATCCCCGCAGACTGACTAGGGTACCTAATGGATTGGTATGCAGGCAGCGCCCTTATGCCTTTCCACGGCAAGACAGACAGATTCCTGCAGTGTACGAGGTATGTTTTAGTACAGAAAGGGAAGTTCGTTCCCCTTTCAAGAATTTGCGACTTTGAGCGAGCAAATTGAAGTGCGGTGCTGTACCTGACTGGCGAAAGCGTATCCACCGCCTGTGGGCCGTTTCGCATTCATGTCCACAACGGCAAAAAAAGCAAGTAATTAACGGTGGACAGCACTGATATTGCACGCATGAAAAGTTGGCTTGGCTTGCTTGAGTGTGGGGGTGACTCTGCGCCAAGAGTTGCGGTGGAAAGTACCATGTAACGAGACTCCTCACTGAACTGTAGAAGAGCCAAAACGTCTACGAAAAGAGCTCCCCCAAAGAAGCTGAGATCCCCTTACGTCTCCAAGCATGCTGGGGACAGTGGGTGCAGCGCCTGGCGCTGAACTCAGCGCCTGGCGCTGTTGTTTAAAGTAGGCAGCACGCCATGAGTTGCAGCATTCTGTGATTGTTCCTTGCAACTACTCCTACTGCTAGGGAACCCCACGTGCACGCACACCCAAGCCCAACTCCGATGCAAATGCTAACACCGTAGAAAATTGTTGAACACTTACTTAGCCATCAGTCACCGGATTGCCCCGAAGTAGAAATGCTTATACCAACTCCATGCACACTATCCTACAGTTCAATTGCCACACAGGCGTTAGCTCTATCTAAGGGGCCGCCACCACAATTTAAGCGCCTCTTGCTTTGGTCTGCCAAATTACAATCGATAAAACTTTTAGGATGAATCATCTTGCGGTTCATTGCAGCACACGAATGAGACATCGTAAGTTGCAGGTGTTGGAGCAGCGCAATCAAACCTACCATTGTCTGTCGACCGGGACGCCCGAGCCAACGCTGCTTTGATAGTCCTCCCTCGCTTCATTTCTAAACTATTTTCCCCCTATGAATTGACAGAAGGCTACAAGGAATTCAGTGGGCTGCTCTTGGGGCTGCTTGCGCGGCCGACGGCAGCGGCTGCGACAGACGAGCCGCAGCGGCAGCTCCGGCTGCTGCTGTGGCTGTAGTCTCATCTCCTTGGGGCGCATCCAGGTCTGCCTTTTGTGGCTAATAAACTTCCCACCTTGTTCCCTTCAGGGCAGTAGACGCCTTGCCCTAGACGCTTACTACACAGGGGCCCCAACGTTACTCCTTCGGCTTACGGGGACACCGGCGGAAGGAGGACCCGAGCCGCAGGTTTTCATGGGCCCACTGTGTGTTGGGGGCTCTCCGCTAGCTGCTTATTGCACAAGCATCCGCCGCTTGTCTCGTGTCAACGTGTCTGGAGCTGCTATGCCTACAGCGCCGACCGCCGCTACCCTCAGCAGGCCACCTCGCGCTGCTGCTGTTCCATCCAACGCACGATCCCCTATAAATCAGCAGCAGGAGTACATACACAAACAAGGCCAGTAGAATCAACGGCATCTTTCCAGGCTCTATCCGGGTCCCAGAATT